TCATAGCTTTCTTATTAATTATCAGATTTTGCTCAAGATGTCTGATTTTTCTGCTTCTATTGAAAGTAAGTCGGACTTGCCCTTTAAGGTTTTTTTTTTCATCAATAGCAACATTTTATGTATCTTAAGCTCTTATCTTATGTTAGGAGATGGTCATTACTTTTACATGTAAAACTAGACATATTTAATGCATTGATTTTGTTCTGAGTAACATACAGTTTTATCATAATTATTAATTTATCACTGATCATCCAAGCTTGAAGATGTTCTAGAATTAAGATTAAATATTTTTCAATAATTTGAGTCATGGACCTGTTAAAGATAATGCATTTACCGTTTGGGGAGGGGGGGGGGGGTGGTTGGAAAATGCATTACATAAGTCGTCTTGGTTATGAAAGGTAATGCTAATCCTGGTGATTGACACCATTTGTTATTGGGTAAAGTGGAATCCCCCATGAGAGCCCACTCCTTTGCGTATTCAAGTTGGTTTCAGCGCAAACCGGTTGTGATTTCCTGTTCCTGATTTCATAAACATAAAACATACGGGGAATGAATTTTAACTAAATGGGTTCAAAGTCTTTCTATTTAACTATCATCGTAGTTTCCTCAGAGACATAGCTATACCAGGGGCGGATCCCGGAGGTGGGGGCCAGGGGACCCGGGCTCCACCCCCTGGGAAAAAAACGTGTAAAAATTTTAATTTTACCTTTTTTTTTAGATGTGCCCCCTGCCGCTGAAGGGGGGGGGGGGAGAGGTGCGATTTTTCAACAACAAAAAAATAGTGCTCATTACCCCCCCCCCCCCCCTCCCCAAACTGAGCGAATTATCGGCCGGCGCGATTTTCAAATTTCAGCACACTAAATTTCGAATTGATTTCAAATTTGCCCCCCCCCCCTAAGAAATCCTGGGTCCGCGCCTGACCTACACTCTGACGTATCTTCTCTAATTCGCTCTGTTGTATGACAGAAAACGTCATAAACTTTCATGGTCTTAGTTATTTATAACGGAATAGATTTTTTTCATACAGAGGTTGTTTAAAAACACATTTTAAATGATTATTTGTATAGGGTGAATGTATAAATTAGTATTTCTTAATATCATTTTCTATATTACATATTATTAGAATATTTTTATAAAGTGTTTCTGGTACAGTGCAAATGAGAGGGAACCTCGCAAGATGCGTCACAGAGTTGTCAATTTGTGTTTGATTGATAACACCTTCAAAAATGCTTGACTTTATAAATTGTAATCGGTTTTTGCTCAAACTTTCACTGACTTGTTTATATCATGAACTGCTTCTATTCAAACCAACTTAAAAATAAACTTGAGTTCTGATAAAAATATACTGGCTGAGTAATGAGCATAGAAAGATAATGAAATCAAGGCAAATAGGCCCGACACCATATACATCTTTCCGTGTACAGTGCTTGTTACTTTACCAAGACTGGGCCCAATTTATTATAATTCCAGAACCTTGCAGTACACACCAATCTTACATGCTACATGATAAACTTTTTTTGATCCTTTCAACTTTCCATTTTCCTTCACAATGCAATCGCACAACCAGAACTCAACTTTGTCTTTAATATCGTGGTGGACTTCCCCTTTCAGCAGGTTTCCTCCAGATTCTTAGTTGCAGTGTTATTATTTCGGCCGGGGTGAGTGATCTATGTGTGTGTGGTAACTGGTGTGGGTGCGTGTGTGTGTCATCCCTACTTCTAGATACGCCGGCGACATTTTAAAGCTGGGCACCTTCGTATTTATAGACATACACACATTAATATATCTGCGATATTAAATTCATATGTTGGCATAATATGATGCTAAAAAATGATGAAGAAACTCCGTTTCATGTTTAAATTCCAACAGTTTTTATTTGGTTAAGATTTGTCAAGTATATTACGTCTTTATCAAGTGATAATGACAACACTTGATAAGGTTTCTAAAGGCAATGTGCAATTATTATGTAGTTGAAATAGCGCAATAATTTTCATTATTCACAATATACACATGTTTAAGGATTGAAAATAATTTGCAGTCATGATTGAAATTGTCTTTTTATTGAAAATTCCAAAATTACTTGATTTTTTAATTCCTAGATTACTCTCAACTGGTTTCAATTTTAATTAAATTTCAATGGTTTCACAATGTTTGTACACTTGTTTCCGTCATTGCATTGTATATGGATCTGCAGTTATGTTCCCTCGAATTTTAAATTTCCAAATGTTTTTTTAAATATGTAAATTCAGTAAAAATTCAGCTGTAAGGTTGCAACTTTAAAATATATTATAACTTGATTCTTGAAATAGTTCACAAGAAAGTAATTAGGCTTATTACCTTGAAGAAAATACAGTAACACTGTGTACATAAACACACACACACACACACACATACACATACTTATATAAACATTTAACTAAATCATTAATTCGATTTATAATTTCTGTAATTTCATGAAGTATGTGAAAAGTTGACTTGTCAGAATTTATGTTCCTTAAGAATTTGTCATATCTAAAAATCTAAAAATATTCTACAAAGTCCCTGTTATAAACAGTTGCGATAAATATCAATCACAGCCATTTACATTAGAGATAAAGGACTTCACACTTGCCTTTGATTAGAGGACTTTCGATTGATTCGTATCAATCGCAACTCTTTATAAGACGGGGCCCTGACCTATATTACTACCACTATACAATACTCCCTCTACCACCGAGGAAACTTTGTCATGTCAAATCGAATAATGCATTAATTGGTTTATACTTCTTGAAAGAGGAACACAATGGTTAACTACATAAATTACATGTACAATAAAACTATTGAAATTGATATCATCAGTAACAGAATAAGTTGAAAAAACCAAATGATATTTTTAAAGTTTACTTAAAGTGAACTTATTTTACAAGGCCTTCTGGCCTTATTTTCCCTTTTTCTCATTTACGACTGGCAAATTTGGTCTCTTTGATATTGTTAGCATGTATGATTGCATTTATTTTTTATGTATCATATTGTAATGATCTATGACCTATGGAGATGGAAATAAATGAACAAATTAAATCAGTACATACAAATTAAAATGTAATATGCCTATAAAAACTGCGTCAAACAATCACGAAGGAGGTATATAAGCCATATAACTTGAGGGAAATAGTAATCATTAAACTTAAAACAAACACTTATTCATCTTTAAAATAATTCATGATATATGCTTGTATTTTAAACTGCAAGTCTCATTTGATCTTATTTTATTTTTCACATTTTTTCCAATAAAAAAACACAAATATGCAAACAATAAAAAATTCATGTGAAAATGTGCTTTACATGTAATAACTAACTTAGTATTTATATAATAATCTGGTTTTATGAACGCTTAATACGACATACCGTCTCTAAGCGCTTTACAGATATTATTACCCCGGTCATCGGCAGCATTCGTACAAGCGCGTAGCCAGGATTTCATTTTAGGGGGGGCGGTAGTGAGCACGCGAAGCGTGCGAATCACTTAAAGAGCGCGCTCCCTAGGGGGGTGGGTGCAGGGAGGGGGGAGTTTCCCCCCTCCCGCGCGAAGCGCAGGAGCTTTGAAAAAAGACGATTCGTCGTACCTTTCTCGACTCATAATCCTTGTCTGAATTCAGTCCACCCCTCTTGCGCATAGCGCGGAAGCTTTGACGTATTATTAGACAAAGAAGACGATTCGTTGTACCTTTCTCGACCCTTAATCCTTATCTGTATTCAGTCCTACTCACGCGCGAAGCGCGGAAGTTTAGACGTTTCATTAATTTATTAGAGAAAGAAGACGATTCGATGTACCGTTCTTGACTCTTAATCCTTATCTGAATTCAGTTTCCTCACCTCCCGCGCAAAGCGCGGAAATTTGAAGTTTCATTAAATTATTAGAGAAAGAAGACGACTCGAAGTACCGTTCTCGACTCTTAATCCTTGTCTGAATTCAGACCCCCCCCCTCCTCCTGCGCGAAGCGCGGAAGCTTTGATGTATTATTAGACAAAGAAGACGATGCGTTGTACCTTTCCCGACCCTTAATCCTTATCTGTATTCAGTCCCCCTCTTTCGAAACGCGGAAGCTTTGACGATTCATTAAATTATTAGAGAAAGAAGACGATTTTTTGTTCCGTTCTGGACTCTTAATCCTTAATTTGAACTCAATTCCCCCAGTTCCGCGCGAAGCGCGGAAGCTTTGACGTTTCAATAAATTATAGAGAAAGAAGACGATTCGTTGTACCGTTCTCGACTCCTTTCCCTTTTTCTTCCTACGTCCTCTTACTTTTTTCCTTCTCTTTCTCTCTCTTTTTTTTTTTTTGGCCGGCGTTTTTTTTGGGGGGCGACCGCCCCCACCGCCCCCCCTGGCTACGCGCCTGCATTCGTACACAATATGCACCATCTCCACTCCCCGAAGTGAGTTCCTACCATATGGTTACCATAAGGGCATATGGCATTTACAAACAATGTATTGTGAAACAAAATGTTCATGTATATGAATGAAGTTTACTAATAAAATTCAAACACAAACGTTTTCGTCATCCTACCAGGTCCCGATTTCTCTCCTTGGTATATAGTAGCAAATATAGATTAATGCCTTGCAAAGGGACATTAGTCCGGTGCTGTGTCTATAGTAAAGTATTACGAATTTGAAGTATTATTCTAACTATTTGCGGAAAAGTGCAGGAGATCACCAATATAAGAGAGGCTTGAATATAATCTTAAATAAAAAGTTATACAGTAGGCTTGCGGGTTCACCATGTGAGAGAGAGTCCTGAAAAGGACTCTAGGTAATCTTTCTTGAGGGTGTGTAGTCCTGAAAAGGACCGTTGGTGTAGACTTGAAAAAGACTGTTGGTTATCTTTCTTAGCTTATAGTTCTAAGGAGAACTATAGCGCTTAGAGAAGATGAGTGGCGGCAGTAGCTCGACGTTTCGAACTGGTTGACTATCTCCTGACGACGGATAGTCAACCTGTAGGTTATATCGGTATGCGCATTTACCTCATCTAGTAGTGGCGCATTTCTCTGCTGTCGAAGCAGTTGGAATGTTGGCACCACTTCGTTGATAAGGAGGAATGGCAGAGTCATGATCTTCTGCAGAAGGGTTCTTGTCACCTCGTCTGTGGTGTATTTTTGTAATTACCTGTGGAAAGATTCGGGGAAGAACCTTCCATAGAGCTGCCTCAAAATCTACCATGATCTCCTCCACGGCAGCTGGTCCTGGCAGTGCATCCCTTAGCTCTTGAATGGCCTCCCTGTACGCTCTCTTCCTCTTGTTAGACATCAGGATGTAAGCGAGGGCAACTTGCTTGATGGAAGCTCCGATTTCGTAGTAAGCGTGCACCAGCAGCAGTTGAACGAATGGCAGCCTGACAATTTTGAAAGTAGCATTGATGAACCACATTCACTATGAACATGACAGACAAAGAAAGCGGACAAAATATACAGTTTCTCAGGTAGACGAATGAACATCCCTTCACTGCTATTATGTAAAAAGGTGAATATGCATGTCACACCTGTTCTACACATGTTTCATTAATAGCAGTGAAGGGATGTTCTTTTGTCTACCTGAGGAACTGTATATTTTGTCCGCTTTCATTGTCAGTCATGTTCATAGTGATTTGCGCTTGTCTCAGCAGCTGCAGCTGCAGCTGTTATAACAAAAGACTTGACGATTTGACGATCAGCCATGCATGCAGAAAGAAGACGAAAAACTTGATGCATGGCTGATCGTCAATGAAACGGAGCTACTGTAAGTCTTTTGTTGACTCTGTCTGTTGCTACGGCAGGCAGCCAGTGAAAACGAATTCGTTTAATCAAATAATGAAAATGCAAGCATTGCTTTAAACAAACAGAACTTTGTTATTCCTGGCCCATTTTTTTATTGAGTTGTCATGTTGCCTCTAGCCCCCCCCCCCCCCCCCGCCCAAAGAGAAATTTGTTGTTACCAGGGTTAGGGCCTGACTTTTTAAAACTTTCTTTGGCCAGGTTGGGGGGGGGGGGGTCCGAGCCTGGAGCGAACAGATGTTGTCAACAAATAATTTTCCGGATTTCTAAAATGATTTGAATCAAGGAATACGACAAAATGGACATTTCGTAATATCAATATATGACTGCTTAGAGCTCCGAATGGTAGCCGCCCATCTGCACTCTCAGCATACGGAACAGACCCAAACCCAAAACAGATACGACGTTGAGGTAACACAGTGTCTATTCAAGGATCCAAACTGTAGACTTAATTTTATGAACATAGCCAATGGGAAACTGGTTTATGCTCCATTCAAGGCACGTTGCTTGTTTTAAGAACTCGATAAGAGTCTAGACCTGCATACAAATCAATCTATCTTTTCATTTTAACCGTTGGTCATGGACATAAATGTCCTTCTTCAACTTTCCTCTTTTTCTTCCTTCGAATATTTCATCATCTTCAGCCCAATCATCCATATCTCGTACAGCAAGACCTCAAAATGCACATGCGAGTATATTAAGAATCACGACGTCTGCAGCAAACCAGCTATCATTTCTCTTTGAGTTCGATTTAATTTAATTCCAAATTCCGACATCAATTGAACAATTTGTAGGAACAGTCAATGGCCAATAAAAACATCATAAAACTCTGACATTTCAGTCAAACGATTAAAAAGACAAAAATCAATCAAGTATAATAGCATTTAATGAGAAACAAGTTAAAGAAAGGGGACAAGTAAACCGTATAATACAAAATTCAGTAATGACAGAGTACATAAAAAGACAAAAGTGGATAATAAGAAAATGGTGAACACAATGAAAGCTAGATTTGTAGCTATTTAGAGTGTACACCTAATTTATGTATTTTTTTTTTTTTCAAACTTTATTACTATAAAATTTAAAGATTGGTCAAACAATACATAAGACATAAAACTTGAGAACATAAACACAAAGGGAACATACCTGTACTGGGCTCATGAGTAAAAACTTGGTGGAGTGAGACTTTTAAGTGATTCTAGGTATGAGGATGCAATATTATGCTTGGAAATCACTTTACAATCTCACTCCACTATTTAAGTCTTTACTCTGAACCACAAATATGTGTGGGTTCCTTATATGGGTGGGACGCCAAAGGGGTCACGGGGTTGGTCCTTAATTTATGGAATTACCCGACCATGCATGTACGTTCCTGTGTTTAAATCATGCATTCTTTTTGGTTCTATACTATATACTGCCATAATAGCTTCATACTATTAATTAAATGTATTGTTAACTGTAACTGTATAATTGTTTTAAATGGGGGCACGCTACAAGAGTCCTATCTCGCACCCCGGGGCAACGTGTCTGACACGGCCGGTTGTAGCAACTACTCCGAAGATCAAGATTACAGTAATCTTGATCTAAGGAGACACGAACGAACGAACGAACGAACGAAGAGCATCAAGCAGTATGATATGGTTCCACCGGATAATTTAAGAAGAGATATTTAACAAATTAAAAGTAACCAATAGGAACAAATTAAATGTTTCTTATATTGCCTCCTGAAAGTATTATTAAATGAAATATTAAATTGGTTACAATTTACATTATTCCAAAGAACTGGACCCAACATTCTCAGACAGTTTCTTGAAAAATCATTAATATATGACCACCGATAACATTTGTTTGCATTTCTTGTAGAGTAACTATGAATCTGGGAATTTAAAGAAAACATATTCATTATAATGTATAGACAAAGTTTGGGTATTGAATCTTTGCATAAGGAAACATATTTGTAGTTTATTTATATCAAATAAAATGAGTGTACATAATTTCTTACGTAGTGGGGATGAGGATGTCACATAACTTTATTTAGTGGTACTTGCGACATAATTTGAATTGATTCCAGGCTGCTGTTTTGACCACATCAACGCTTATTTTGGTATATAATGTGGAGAGAGAAAAATTGGCGGAGTTTTCATAACGGATCTGTGAAAGTCCATCGGTTTTCATCCGGGTTAATGCAAGGGCAGCAAGACAGTATCTGTAGAGAGGTTGAGTAAGAGAGAGAGAGAGAGAGAGAGAAAGAGAGATTTATTTTTTCATTCATTCATTCATTAATCTATTCATTACCTAAATGTTCAAGATAAATTTAATTTCACCATGAAACATAAAAACACATTTGGTGAATAGAGCCAACAAATAGAAAAAAACTATTCAAGGTTGACGTTATAATATTACTCAGTCTTCAATTTGGAACAAGATTAATAATGACGGGTAAATATTGGACTATAAGAATCAAGATTAAAATGGGTATTTGAAGTCCATTTAGCGAACCACTATACCACGGCACCTCTACAAACTGGAGCTTACCTTTGTTTGCATTCTTCTCTCTCTGTTTTCTTCTGATGAGGTAGATCACGGTAATATCCGTCTGTTGCTTTGGTGACTTTAAATTTGCTGAATGTTACCCTCTTATACAAATCGGTATCCTCGCCGCCCCATCCCCAATACATGTTGGAGTAGCCGTTAATCTTATCCATTTGCAGCCCAGTTAATCCCACGACGCCTCCAAAATCTTTCATGTAGGGGTTGCTATAAAGAATACAAACCAATGATAGGAAATTAATAGCACTGCAGGATAAATAGAAGTGAATATCACACTTTTATGGCAGAAGAGGAGCAATAAACGGTTTAAAATAAAATTGTTGAATAAACCTTTATACAGTGCGGGGTTACATTATACAGTGCGTATCAAAAAGGTGCACACTTTGAAAGTATCCTCCAAAATGTTAATTTTGATAATACACATGTATAACAATAATAGTGATATTGGATATACTTATAATTTGCAGGTATCCACCACGCAAGGTACTAAAGGCGCTCCACTAAGGATTTTTAGATTTGCACGTAGACATTGTGGACTGCTACGTGTGACGTCCTTTTAAGGCTACGTCATACGTAGCAGTCCACTATGTCGACGTTTGAACCATTAAGACATAGTGCCTTAAAATGACGTCGCATTGCCTTAAAAGCACGTCACACGTAGCAGTCCACTATGTCGACGTGTAAATATAAAAGTCCCCAATATTACCCCGTCTCCTCTGTCCAAGATACCTGTCAGTGCTCACAGCATTCAAGGAATTCCTTTCTATCGGTATCTATTTAACACCTGGAACTACCAATTATTTCAATCTGGACAGCAGAAATCCAGATTTACACCAAAATTGTTTAGTTTTCAGGTTTTGGGTTTCTCTTGTACTTTTCTTCAAGGCTATGTGAAAGATACAGGTATCTGGACAACACCAATCTAGATATACACCAAAATTGTTTAGTTTTCAGGTTCTGGGTTTCTCCTTTAATTTTATTCAAGGCTTATGTTGAAGATACCAGTAGCCAGAATTAATTACACATTTATTGTTACCCTTTTAGTGATGGTTCTGCCTAATCTTGAAATAGTTCATGAATTTCAAAATCATCAATTTATAAATTACACAAGGCCATGAATAAGATAAAACAGGCCTTCAATGATTTTGTTTTGGTAATTTTATTTTAATTTGAAAAGCAAGACATTCAGTATTGAAAACTATGCATAGCTAGTACAAAGGACATGATTATTTCAGAAATACAAACAAAAAAGAAAATTTCAAGACATATGACTGTTATTATTATAGCAACATTAATATATGATAAATGATAAATCTATCAACTGAGCACTTAATGACAAAAGGAATTACAGCAACTTAATCCTGTCGTAATTAATTTAACTTTATTTCTAATTTGTATAAATTCTCACTCATATTTGAATTCTTCAAGCTTGGTGGCATAATGTTTGGGGTAGTCATCACACCCATAGTAGTTCGTAGAATTAATGGGAACATAGTCGACGTCATGAAACACGTAGCAGTCCCAGATTGTTCCACTCAACTTCGCCATCTGATAGCCTATATTCTTCATTAGACCTCGGTTCATTACTTCAGAGGAACCCTGAATATTCATGATTGTAAAAATAAATATTGATGATTAAACGTCACGGCAGCAACGTTACACTCTCAAAGATTATGTAAATGTGAACATGCACTTTTGTTGGGTAAAATTTTACCCTATATCGGGTACATTTGTCCCATTTTGGGGTTTATTTTCACTCCATATTGAATTTAATTTTCTCCAGCAAACGTGGCGTGTTCTCTCTTTATTTTTATTCAATGTTAGGGAAGATTTTACCAAACTTATATACCAATAATTGTGATTTGCATGACGGGAGATTTTGTTGATGGTAAAAGAGGATTCTGATAATGAAGTTATCAAAATAATCATAATTCAATACTTAAAAGTCAACGAATGGTGACACTGAAGTCAACAACATATGTTTATTGCTGGATACAACCAATTATCTTTAAAGCCATAATTATATATCAAGAGTTGCTACATTTTGGAGATGACGTCATTTCTCAGCCCCTTTGTACACGTCGATTCAACACTTGTGCTGATAAGCGAATAAGAAATTCCATGAAATTAGCTATGACACTCATGAAAATGATTTTTCATTTGAATAATTCATCTTTTGATGTACCATTTAATCAACTAACATGATTCAGATATCTGAGTATCTATGAACAGTTGTGGCACTTTTCATTTCAATAAATTCTCTTTGAACGTACCTGTTCCGCGATAAAGATTCCAAACTCCAACTCCTGACTCTGTAAGAAGGGTATTAAGTTTCTCAGAAGGATATTTAGGTTATAACTCCGATTCCTGTAAGGAATGATCAATGCTACATGTTGATTAAAAAAATAAAATTAAACAAAAGTCGATTCACAGTACTATGTATTTACATTCATGGTCATTATCGTTTGAAAGTAATGTCCTTTCAGTTTTATGGGGTTTTCACAGATTAATCAAGACGAGTAAAGACATTATTTGTGTTGTTCTATACATTTAGTGCGGGTTCACAGAGCTACTACGAATTAAAATGATCAGAGAAATAGTATTAACCCCTGGCTACATCATCTACGTTTTGTACGACTCGTCTGACTCGATGCCATTGTTGGATTCAATTAAACGCAGACTTTCCATGTCCGGTGTAACCAACCCTTTAAAGAGTACAAACCTTCCATTTGGCTTTGCAGTTCAGTGGGACCCAGTGCCCTCCAGGAAAGTACAGATAAGAGCCAATCTCTATCGCCATTCTATTCTTTACAGCCTGCTCCAGATCTGCTGTACGGTTTCGAATGTAAAGATACTTGCTGGCGTCCATTCCGCGAACCCTCAGGATCTGTTTCAATTGCTCATCGGCTTGGCGCGTTATATTTCGGGCCTTCTCTGTAAGATTCTTGAAAACTGTCTTTTCTGTCGTTAGGAAATCGGATTCCGTGATATTGGCGATGTAGTGGGTAACTGAGACAAGGGAATTGAAAGATGAAGAGGAAAATAATTTAAAGACAAGTTATGTTTTGGAAGTGTGTCCATAAGTAAAAAAAAACAAACAAACAAACAAACAAAAAAACATGAGTCATAATCGAGTTCACACGGGGGCAAAAAAAAAGAACCTTAACAGTTTCAGATGGCGTAGACATGATCCATGCATTGGCACAGAATATGTTTTTATTTCTTATCAACACATGTGATTGATTAACATTGATTGCAACTCCTGACATTAGAAACCGGGACATCCCAAAAGACCGACAGCCCACGGGACCAACAATATCGGTCATGTGAACCATTACGACACAGATACAGATAAAGAGACAATATTAGCAGAGATACACACACAGACAAGTATTAGGCCTAAAAATCAAAAAATGTTGTATTGCCCTTTATGTGCCGGAACCTGGGTCGGTCGGTCTGAATTATTTTTTGAAACACAAAAACCAAAACCGGGAGCAAAGATCGCCCAATTCTCGCTGGTTTCTAGCTGGTGCAGTGCATAGTACAAATACGTACACGTGGCCTGGGTATACTGGTTTACGATAGCAGGATTTCGAAACTAGGGCAAAAGACGAAATTGGGAATAATTTTATGATTTCAAACAATTGAACAAACAAAATACTTTTATTCAAATTTGTTATTAAAAAGCCGACCGTAGATTTTAAGATTTGGGGTCGGTCGCAAGGGCCAATACAGCATTTTTTTTTACGCCTTAAATAGGTAAAAGTTCTCTTTTCTTACCACTTGAATTTTCGTTGGTTGGGAACGTGCACTCTTTATTTTCCGATGAATAGAAAAGAAAAACAGGTAAAAATATCAACAGAACAAGATGTAAATGCGTTATAGGGCGATATTTAAAAAACACACATTCTGGTTCTTTCAATCCCGTTTGACTATAATAAAAGCAGCCCTATTCTTCCTTTTACACAATATATGCCTTTTACTCTCTTCTGAACATGTACTCATTCGAAAAGGGGCTCAAACCCTTACAAAACTTGCTATCCAGGTTTGCTGCGTAATTATTCATATTATAAACACGTGGATTAATGTCTTGCCAAAGGACATTAGTGCCGGGCTGGGATTCGAACACTCAACCCTTGGACTGAGAGTTAGGTGAATGAACAACGACATCTCCAAATGTGTGGAGATTCTCTTGATTATTCTGGAATGCACCGTGATATTTAGGAACGCTGCTAAAGAACCATAAAATTTATACAAATTAAATTTTCCACTACGAAAGCCTCTTTGGGTTGTATATAAATACGGGACTAGGTTTGGAGCCAATATTGATTCTAATCTACAACGTTTTTTCTTAGATAGTAGTGCATACATCTATTTGTTTTTACTATGTTCTAATTTTCTTCAAACAAATCAAGTTAAAGTAAAAATTATTGTGAATAACACTTCCTCTTGTATTCTAAGACAAGTAATTTAACGGGGAAATATTGATTTTATTTTCAGATAAGAACTGAAAGAGATTGATTCATGGCTACTTATGGACATGATAGAATCTTGTGACTCGTATTATAGTATGAAGTGATCATTGGACAACTCTCTTCCTGTTTTTGATGTCCCGTTGATTGTAAACCATACATTCTCAATAAATTTTTAAACCATTACATTTTTCATTCATTATTAAACCATACATTCTCATTAATATTTAAATGAATGGCGGTGTAGATACATTTTCCATGAGGACATACAAAATTGTGTAGGCCTAAAATTATGATTGTTTCTATATTTCTAGGTTAGTACATAAACTGCCCTCTACTGGTGTGCTGTCTGTATATACTTTGTATTGGTATTCTTCATCTTCATGTGAGGTCAAGTTATGCGGTTATGTGTTTTGACAACTGAAACAAAAGAAGCAGATGATAATAATCCTCTGGATATAAACTAATCTTCTACGGACACGAGTGTGTCAGCTATACTCTGAATAAACTTTGCCGGAGTATACTTCACATGTGGTAATGCATATAATGTAGGCCTATTCATATGTTTAATAAATGAAACAAAAGAAGTAGACAGTGAAACTAATAATGAAACTAGAACCTCGAGGATGTTGTTGATGTTGCTCTGTTCAGCGGTATATGGCAATAAGTCGAATTCGAGTCCTTTTTTCAAACTGGTGACTATTATCACCAATATTTATTACAACAAATTAATTCATCTCTCTCTTTGATCATATTTCTTCTTCTTCTTTGAGGGTGTCCTTGTATTTTTGTCAGCGTTTTCATTAATATAATTAATTGTTATTGTATCAATCCAGGTTCCTAGATCCCGTCCTTTCTTATTCGGCATCATCCTGACAAACCCGCTCGTATGATACATAATACCTAGGTCGCTTTATCTAATAATCAAAGGAAAAGGTCCTGGGTGTGAACTGTTGTTGTTTGTTGTTTTTATTTCCGTATAATAAAATCAGATACAAATATATATAAAATAATCCCACAGAGAAAAAGGGACCGTATACGGCTGGTAGCCCATATTCAGCTGCAACTATAATTGCTGCTGCTGGTCTTCCATGGGGCCAGTTTACAATATGCAAAATATACATAATATTACAAATTAACAAAATAAATAATTACAAAGTATCAGTCGAAAACATAATACAAATACTTAAAGGAAAAGAAGACCCTTCCCGAGGACATTGGTTGCACTGGTTAAGTTGCCTTACATGAGACCAGGTCCATGGTGAGACACAGGCCCCGAGTTTTAAAGGGTTGCGATTAACACAACTATGTATATAAGAGATTTGAGACTGCAAACTTGTAATTGATTTGGATCAATCGCAACTCTTTATAAGAGTAGCCCTAGTAATACATACCATGATTGGATATCATGTGCATGTCTTTAATATGTAGAAAGGAACAGAGGTTTGGGATGACGTTCTCTGGGAGAGTTTGTTCTTCCTTCAGTCGACGTAGCTCTAATTCTGCAAGTAAGATAATTGCAATTTATTTACACAAAATAATAGATAATGATGAAGATGGTAGTAGTGATGGCGATGATGATGGTGATGATGATGATGGTAATTGTGATAATAATAAGGAGTGTAATTTTAATAATATTAATAATAAAACGGTGATAATATTAATGAAAACAAAAAAAGTAATGATGACAATAACAAGGTCACTGTATTAGAAAGCTCTCGGTTGAAATGAAATATTCTACCAACCCCGTAAAGTGACAGGAAAAATCGCCTTCTAATGACTGGGGCCTAATTATGAGAAGAAAATTGAACATCTTCATTATGATAGGCCTATAGCTAACAAAAGAGGTCAATCATGTTTGTATGTTTTTATTCCTCCACTCGTCAGAAATAATGAAACGCAACAAGATAGGTCAAGCTGAAACATACGTTACTGCCCAATGGTTTAAGGGCAACTCCTCATTGTAAAGGTAGGGGTGTGGTACAGAAATCAAACTAAATCAAGTCAATTAAAAATTCGATCACCGGATTGTGTCTCGTCCAAGTGTGACCAAATTATATGTGAATTCTCCAAGGAGCATCCCTGACCCTATTTCGATTGCGCTTACTAAGGGCGCGTTTCTTCGAAAGGAGCGGCTATATGTCGTCATGTATATAAATGACGCGTTATATGAATGATGACGATGACGATTAACAGATTAAATTAGATAAATTAGATTCTGATCAAATAAATTAAACTCATAAACTCACCATTTGATACCGTGGGTATAGTCATGTCGTCATGGTCATAACTCATCATCGAGTAGTACAAAGCGACGACGACAAGAAGGAAGATGAATAGCTTCTTATATCTGCTGACCATCTTTATAGGTAACCCTATGTTCATAATCCTCAATTGTTGCTATCGTATCAGTAAAGAAGGATAGAGCCCTGCAAGACATTGATAATCAAAATAAATCGAGAACTTAGTTTAAAATAAAGAGAGGGAAACGGCTTCAATACGAGGTGGATGTTATCTCCTGTTATTTTGAACTCTCGTGATCTTTCTTTCCTCATCAAGGAGCAGAAGTTACCTGTTCACCGGGATTACGAAGTCACTTTGTTATCAGTCGTATTGCACGTTTGTTTAAATACATAGGTTATCAATATAGATGGGTGGGTAAAAACACATGAGTTTGGATAAAACACCTATGCTTCTTGCTTTATAGAAGATATATTAGCAATGTGATACTTCCAGTCAAGTGACTCATGAATTCGAATGCGTAAGAAAATTAATGACTCAGTTCTATCAATAACAGTATTTTCAATTCTTAATGGGTCAATGTTTGATGAAATTCTTTACCTTTAAGAATGGAATATTACATATTTTGTTTTCTAAAATGTCAATAGTAGCCATTAGCTAATAGTCATTATTTTAATTAGTTATATTGTTTTGAATCTAGGGTTAGCGTTAGGGTTAGGGTAAGGGTAATATACCAGTTTTTATGGTGTCCTGTTAATGTACCATTTAGGGTTATATATAGATGTCCTGTTAATACAACATTTAAGGTTATATATATATATATATATATATATATATATCAATGTTTATTTATGAACACATATATTATTTTGTTCTCCATATAAATAGGATGAAGTTCTGCCCGGAGTGAAAAATTAGATCAAGTGCACTTGATAAAGATTAGAATCTGGATATTCGACACATAATATGGGATTTAAAAAATAGAAATAGGCCTATATCATTACTTAAAGTCCCCCGATTTGATCAGTCTTCTACATGATTAGGTCACCCTAATCACATGCATGGTGCCTGACTTTCTCCATGCAAAAAATGACTTAATCTTCGTTGATATCATTTAGTTTCAGTTTATTGAATTTCATTTGTCAATCATTCTATTCAAATGAGAAGTGTAACGGTCGGAAGAATACACTTAAAGAGAAATATCAGGAAGCTGACAATCTTATTCATAATCACTTTATTTGTTAACCATTCTATTTGATAAGAATGCTACCAGTGAAAAGAATACACCTTGAGAGGATAACTCAAAAAGCCGACAAGCTTATATCTATCAGATGAATAAAGTTCGATGATATACCGTTTATGAAGGTCTGAATTCAAATTTCAAATTGCAGAACATTACTTGTGTTAGTGGCTACCGAATTATAGCACTAAGAGAATTACAAACATTGCCTTACCTTATGTATCATGTGTATGCTTATCCAAAAATACGAAATGCGCTCGGTTGATATTGAATGTTCCCAAAACATCTAATTAAAATGAATGCAACTGCAGCAAGTTCCCTTTGCTTGGTAGAGAATCAAGGTGTGGTCTGTATCATTCATCAGCGTTTGTTCACTGCCGACTCTACATCCAATATGATGACTTCAATGTACTGTGACTCTGATAATGTTGACCACAAAGTGTTAACTATGAACCTTGCAGTGATCCCGGAAGCATGGAAACGGATATATTTTTTTTAATCGATATTCCATTTTTGTCGGTTGCTACTCATTAATAACAAGACCTCGTTTTTCAAGGATAAACAACACAATATGGCTTTTAAAGAAATGCACGTTTTCCCTTTGGATACGACTACTACTACTGCTACTACCACTACTACGACCTACTACTTCTACTACTACTACCACTATTTTTATTATTAGGTGATACAAATCTCTATCGAATACCTGAAGGGGGCGCTATACCACTCTTAATGATGGTCTTTATCGTATTTATGATCATTATCATTAGATCATCATCGGCACACTTTCATGATAACAAAATAGCACGTATCACCTAATTCGTCAAAGTGACGAATTAAAGTCTAGTTATTATTATTATTATTATTATTATCATTATTATTATTATTATTATTATTATGGAACTTTCTTTCTTAGAAACAAACTACTGAAAATATATGCCCTTTACCTCCTAAACCTTAGGATTCTCATCTATCAACTATCTAACAACTAACCTCTAACTGCCATCAGCTCACTTTTCACCAGAAATAATGAAATACAACCTTATCCTACAATTAAACAAGTCGACTGCAAAATAAATACCATCTTCCCTTGACGGGAATAGCCTTTGCTAAAAACAAAAACATTGCCATATTGGGCCAAACTATTGTTAAAAACACACCTGAAACTGTCTCTGCTAAATAAGTACCAAACATCGTATCAATAAATCGTCTTTCTATGCATGCCCAGCCCCAAAAGTGCTTAAACCCCTTGCTAATATTTCACTATCTAGAGGCTCTACTCCGTGACATCGTGACTCTAGATTTGTTTTTCTAACTTACGCCTGCTTTTCTCTTTAACTGTGGGATCCACCACTCTTTCAACTTTCTTCACTGTCTTTTTTACATTTATTTATGTATTTCCATTTACCCGTGTATCCTGTCCTAGACATTTTCTTTTGTTAAACACCCCCCAAAATCCAAAAAGCTTCATGCTTTATTCATCATTATAAATAATAACTGAACGATCCCCCAAGCATTGTAGTTGCGGAAATGGAACTAGCTAACTTGGGTCTTGGCAGGGTTAGCCTTCAGTTGGTTGTTGTTGTCGTAGTAGTCTGTCAGGTTGTCTATGGCTGATTAAAGGGTTGCTTCTATCTTGTCTATGTGAGAACTCTGGGCTTCTATGCCAAGGTCATCAGCGTAGACGAAGCTTCTTGTCCCTGGGTACGCTGGTTTGTCATCGATGTTAACATCAAAGAGCAAAGGAGATAGACCATTCCTTTGTTTCCTCCATCTGATGTGCTTACCATTGAGCTCAACATAGAAGCCTCAATTTTCCTGGAGCATCTGGATAAGTTTAGTCAGATGCAAGTCCTTTTCATGGTATAGAGCTTGTCAAGAAGTACACGGTGATCTTCAGTGTCGTAGGCAGCTGTCAGATCGACGAGTACAACTCCAGTTGGTTTGTTCTTCTGGAAAACTTCATGCCTTCTTCGATGTGCTGGGTTAGATTTAGCACTTGGCCAATGCACGATCTCCCAGGCCAGAAACCTGCTTGCTCTGGTATCTGGTGTTGTTCTGTGACTGACCCCAGTCTGTTCAGGAGGAGGCGCTCAAGGAACTTGAAGAGATGGCACAAGGACATTGGTCTGTAGCTCAATCGAATGAATTATTTATATTTCAAAAAGCCCCATCAACCATAAATCACTTTTAAAATTACCAATTCTTGTCACGATGTCACGGTATTCATTCAAGTATAAACCATCAAAAAAGTGATAGAATTTTTTTTTTTTTTAAATAAAAAAAATAGTGATCTCATTCCAATGAAAATATTGTTGCTATCAAAGTAATGAGACGTCTAAAGAATGTCCTTGGATTTTGTTTGCATTAATAAAAAGGTAATTTTTAATACATTGATCAGTAAAACTTGAATGTTGAAATCGTGTTACTTCATCAAGACAGAGGCCGATCATTGGGAGGCAATTTTTTGTATAAATAATCTGTAGATACATGTATCTATGACTTTTTAACCTGGTATATCCTCTTCATAATTATATTTGGAGTGTAGAAATTGTGCTACGGTATTACTCAACATGTATACTTCTACTGTCAAGTTTTATTTTTTGATAATGATATATTTATTTTTGCCAAGTGTGTGCTAAGAACAGGGGCCAGACTCGACTAGCACATGTGCTATTATTTGGCTCCTTTTCATCACCTTCTATATTCTATGAGAAAAGACATATGTCTAGCATATCAATACTTTGTTAGGTTTTTCTTTAATATGATCTATAATATTCATTTATGAACATGTACCATTCACGATGTATTCAAATGTTTAATCACTGATGTTATTGATGATGAATAAATAAAATCAAATCAAATCAAATAATGTTTCATGGACTGTCGCATTGCAAAGTAAGATACGAACACAGAAATCAAAGGATGGAATGAAATAATGTGATAAGATATTGATGACGCATAAAGGGAAGAAAAAGAGGGAAATACAGAATATAAAAAAGACACCTTGCC